TTTTGGAACTGGGGATTGAACTCAGACCCTTGTGCTTGCCAGGGAAGTGCTTACTTTACTGAGCCATCTCCCCAGCCCCTAAAATATATTTATTAAAAGAATCAATAGATATGTCAATTAAATATCTTGAACATGAAAGGAAAATTGTGGGGTAGGCATGTAACATTTATTGAGATTTTTCTTTTGACAAGCATCTGTTTAGGTCATGTGTGCCCCTGTCTGTATATTTATGTATATTTTTTCCATATTCAGAGTAAATATATATATATGTATATATTTTATGCATATTCAGAGTGATGTTATCGAGTAGGAGCTATTTCTGTATCTCCTTGTAACTAAGGAAATTAAGACCCAGAAAAATAATGTACTGCAATTATAGTTAAACCGCTGACTGGAGGCAGAGTCAGGATTTAAACTTAGGTCTTCCTGGTTCCAGAGACAATACATCTATCTATTCACTATCCACAGATCATCTGCTTGGCTTGGGTATTTTAGGTTTGTTCAGCGTTTCTCAACTCAGGACAAATCTACCCCCTGGGGAGCTTTTGGCTGTTACATAACAAGCAGGTGTGCTGCTGGCTACTCAGAGCCAAAAGGCCATGGGTTGTTCTACAAGGCAGTAAACACCACTCCACCACAAGAAAGAGCATTCCAGCCCCAAATTTCAACAGTGCTAATAAGATAGATAAGCCCTTGAGTAGCCTCAGAAATTTACTGATAATGTCATGCCACTTTAAAAAATAGAATACTTCAAAGCCATATAAATGAGGGCTGCACTTTACCGTCATGCAACTTCTCTCAGTCATCATTAGGGAAATCAGTCCCCATGTGACCGTGCATCAGGCATGATGCCAGGCAGCTCAACCATTACTGCAGGACAAAGCAGCTTAACATACACAATTAGAATCCAGAAGCCAGAGACTGATGCAACTCATAATCGTTTTGGAGAAAGTGATGAGCAGTATATAGAGCAGAAAGTTACAGCGTGGTTCAGAAAACAAATCTATCACTTCTGGGACCAATAAAAACTGAGAAGTTTCATATCAGAAACAAGTTTATTATTATATCACCAGCAAATTTTTTCAAATGGAAATGAAAATGTGATACTTCTTTCTAAGTAAGTTCTAGGACCAGAAAGAGTTCAGTGGACTAACCACCTGTGAGGCAAGCACAGGGACTTGGTTTCATCCCTGGCACCACATGTAGCACCGGCACCACCCCTGAGCACCCTTAGCCAGTCACTGAGAATGGGTGTGGGGACCCACGCCTGTCATCCCAGTGTTGGGGAGGCTGAAAGCAGGAGGATCACTATGAGTTGGAGCTGCTTAGTGAGACCCTGATTCTAATTGGTTCCATGAATGTCTCAAAGGAACCAGAATTCTTGCTTAAGGATTCATCCTGGAAAGCAAACAATGCTTGTAATGCATTCTGTGTCTGAAGGAAAATCTTGATTTAGATATTGAATTATCTATTTCAGGTATTTCCCTTACTTAATCTCAGTGCTATCTTCTTTTATCAATCCTTCTTCAAAACCTATTTATGGCCTATTATTTGCCTTGATTCCATAACTGGAACAACTGGGGATGAGACCATGGAATAGTTTGTCATACTTTTTGGTATGTTCTCTACCGGGTCAAAAGCAAGGCCACAGAATGACGCAGTCAAATGAGTTTGCTTCCGAGGCTCATCCACATATTTTCCATCCACCCTCCCCAGGGACTCCCAAGCACCTGCAGCATCCCAGCCTTCACCTGTTTGTAAACAGTGCACTCAGCACAGCTTCCTCCAAGCGCACCACCCAGATACCAGCCATACTCACACCTCCTGTTCTAAATTAATTCCTCATACTCTGGTTTCTCTTCAGATCATATAAATCTTTCGCCTTTTACTAAATTAATTCCTCATATATTTCCAGCATTCCAAGATATTTGATTTTCTGCCTTCAGAAATAATAAACCTTATTCTACTTCCAAAACTGTCTCAATGGAATAAGAACACTGACTTTCATCTGCCTTTAACACTGAATGAGTTCCTAAGAAACAAAACTGTTTCTTTTTTCTTTTCCTATTCCTTATGACACTGATTATAAGAATAACACCGCAACCATTACTCATGAGTGTCTTACCACTGTGCCGTGTTTTTTTTTAATTTATTTATTTATTTGTGTGTGTGAGTGTGTGTGTGTGCGTGTGTGTGTGTGTGGCCTGCTCAGCCCACCAGGGGGCAGGGCTGGCTGGCATGTGGTGCTGGGGGATTGAACCGTGGTCCCTGTGCTTTGCTAAGCTTGTTCTAAGTAGGTGCTTTAGACCACTAAGCCATCTCACCAGCCCCTGTGCCGTGTTTTGTAAGTGCCTTTATATGAATGACCTTGTTCCTTTCTCTGACCAAAGGGGTAGGTCATGCCACTGAGATTTTTTAAAAATTGAGATTCTATGAAATTAGATAACGTGCCCAAGATCACATACGTAGTTTGTAAGTACCAGAAGTGGGATTGAGTCTTAGGAGGCCTGATTCCCAAATCCTTGTTCTTGTAATGTATAATAGATTCTCATGTACAACAGAGTCACAAATTTCACACCATAAAGGCACCTTCCAGAAAGCCAAAATGGAGGGGGACAGTCTATAAAATCCAAAACTGTGAAGTCCATTCAAAAGAAAAAGTTCTAAGAAACTGTCAAGTCTGAAGAAGCCCAAATAATGACCATTAGATGGCATACTGGGGAGCAAAAAGGACATTAGGTAAAAACTAAGGAAATGCTAAGAAAGTATGGAGTTTTTCAACTAAAAATGAGGTATCAACACTCATTTATTAGTTATGATAAATGTGTCTCATGATTAGTTTTAACAATTGGAGAAACTGAGTATGAGAGTTTATGAGATCGCTATATTTTTTGTAACTTTCCTATAAAATCTACCACTATCCTACAATGAAAGGTTTATGTTTTAAATGACATTCTCTTTCAGCAGTCTTTTAAAGAAGGGTTTTAAAATTTAATATGCAAATAAATCACCTGGAGTATTGTTAATATGCAAATTTTAATTGAAGCTCAGAAGGGAACTTGAATTACTGTGATCCTAATACGCTCCCAGGTGTAGGGGCTAACGCTGTTAGTACATTGACTGTGCAACCATAAGTTGCTAAAATAGACAGTGGTGTCATCAGACGTGTCTGGTCCAGCTTCATATGTGTAAAGGAGCGGTAATTGTCAAGGAATAATCTCCTAAGCAACACTTGTGCTGGAAAATCTTGTGGCGCTGGTCAATACAACACAGATATGCTGCTGTCTAGTTTTCATTTCAATGAAAATAATGTCTCAGAATTAAGTTCTGGAATGAACTGCCTCTTACTGTTACCTCCCACTTCCATTTACTGTGCTTGTGTATGTATATATTTGGTCTTTTTTAATTTTTAAAAACTATTCATTTATTTGGTACAGGGTCTCACTACCTAGCTCAGACTTCTAGTGACCTTCTTGTCTCAGCCTCCCCAGTGCTGGGATTACAGGCATGTGCCACCATGCTCAGTCTTGCTGGCTGGCTAGGTGCAAGGCCGGCAAGGCATGCAGTACCAGGGATTAAACCCAGGTCCTTGAGTTTGCCAGGCAGGAGCTTAGACTGCTGAGCTGTCTCCCAGCCCTACTTGTTTTAAAACAACTGCATAAAAGAGACCAGAATCATTGGTTATGTCTATGGTAGACAAGTGTCCATAAGCAAAGATAGTATTTTCTAGAATTATTACAAGCCTCCACATTCCCAAAGAAATATCTGATCTATTAGAGTTCATTCAGGAATAGGATTTAATTCTAGTAGGTTGCATCTGTTTCTGTGGTGAAAGGACATAGAAGAGAAATACTCAGGTAAAATGTGTATGTTCATGGACTAAGGTTGGGAGTGCTCGCTAACATCAGCCCTTTTAAGTGCTATAGATACAATAATTTAAATTTTATACATATAAAATGGAAAGCAGTGGTTTTCACTGCATTTCCATGGAGTATTACTGCTGCAAGATGCAAGGCACTTCCTGAGCAGAGCAATCTATGATCACATACTTCTGGGAAACAGCAACCTTGGAAATGCACAACAGAGGCTTAGGTACAGCACGGTGTATCACAGAAAATGACTACTAACCACTTTAATGGTAGAGTAGTTATATGAATTACGGAAATTTCTGTAATATAGAAAATTAGAACCATTTGAATACGGAGAGATGATGTAGTTGGTCATAAC